TGTAAATTTAAGTAGCTCCTTTACGTAAGTGTAGCATTGCCGACTTACGAAAATGCTACACCTACGAAAGACTAACGTAAGGTTACAAAAATTTCCAAACTAATCTAAACATCCCCCCTCTGATTTTCAGGGGGTGGGCCCCTCACTCCCCTAAACACCAATCCTATTCTTCCATGTTGGCTGATACGTAAACTTAAGTAGCTCCTTTACGTAAGTGTAGCATTGCCGACTTACGAAAATGCTACACCTACGAAAGACTAACCTAAGGTTACAAAAATTTCCAAACTAATCTAAACATCCCCCCCTCTGATTTTCAGGGGGGTGGACCCCTCACTCCCCTAAACACCAATCATATTCTTCCATGTTGGCTGATACGTAAACTTAAGTAGCTCCTTTACGTAAGTGTAGCATTGCCGCCGTGAAAACCAACCGGTCCTGGCATAGGGATCTCCTGTACGTACATCCAGGCTGAGGCAGCTTGTGCGCACCAAGCAACGGCAATGGAAAACAGCGCGCCGCCGGTGATCATCGTTGGGGCGGGGCCGTCGGGGCTGGCGGCGTCGGCCTGCCTGGCGCGGCGCGGGGTGGATAGCATCGTACTGGAGCGGGATGACTGCGTCGGCTCGCTATGGCAGAAGCGCGCCTACGATCGTCTCCACCTGCACCTCCCCAAGCAAGCAAGCGCGCTCCCCCACCTGCAGCACGCCGACGACGCGCCGGCCTACCTCCCCCGCGACCACTTCGTCCGCTACCTCGACGCCTACGCCGACCGCTTCGCCGTGCGCGCGCGCCTCCGCCTCCGCCGCGAGGTCCGATCCGCGCGCTTCATTGTGGACGAAGGCCGATGGGAGGTTGACGCCGTCCACCTCGGCACCGGCGACACGGAGCAGTACGTGGCGAGGTACCTGGTGGTGGCCACGGGGGAGTTCGACGAGAAGGTCTTCCCCGTGGTGCCCGGGCTGGACACGTTCCCTGGCGAGGCCATCCACGCCAGCGAGTACCGGTCCGCCGAGGGGATGCGGGGAAAGGAGGTGCTCGTCGTCAGCTGCGGCAACTCCGGAATGGAGATCGCCCTGGACCTCGCCCAGGCCGGCGCCGCGGCCTCCATCGTCGTCCGCGGCGAGCTCCACCTCATGACGAGGGAGATCATGAACGCGTCCACGGCGCTGTTCGCCTACCTGCCCGTCTGGATGATCGACCGGCTGGCGGTGTTCGCATGCCGCGTCGTCTTCGGCGACACGGCCAGGCACGGCCTCCGGCGGCCCGACGTAGGGCCCTTCACCAGAAAGATCCAGAGCAACGTCTACCCAGTCATCGACGTCGGCACCTATGACAAGATCAAGAGCGGCCAGATCCAGGTGCTGCCGGTGATGACGAACATCGAAGGGGACGTGGTGGAGTTCTCCGGCGGGGAGCGGCGCCGCTTCGACGCCATCGTCTTAGCCACCGGGTACCGCAGCATGGCAAAGAAGTGGCTCAAGGTTCGATCGATAACTCATGCCAAGAATCAATCAACCCATATATGTATTATATTTGTGTTGCCAACTTCTCAGCTTGCTAATGCTAGCTCGAGAAATGGAACTGAAGCTGAATCGTCGGAATGCTGCCTGGTTTGGTTTCAGAGCGACGACGGCGGGCTGATCGGTGACGACGGGATGGCGTCCGGGAGATCTCCCAAGGGGGGGAACGGGCTGTACCATGCGGGGCTGGCAGGGAGAGGGATCTACGGCAGCGGCACAGGCGGGGAGTTCATCGCGGAGGACATTAGCAGGCTGCTCCGGCAGGGCTCCGGCGACGACGACGGCGATGGGGTCTAGAGCTTGGTAGTAGACCCCAGGTCATTGCGTCCCTCGAGGAGATCTCTCTCATCGGGCCGGCCCAGCTTGATGGACCCTTCTAGCGTTTGTGATCTAGCTATATATATATGTTTGGGTGGGTAAAATAAGTCTTCAGAAAATGGGTGATCTAGCACTGGAACCTGTCAATGTCGAGGTATCATCGAAGGTGGCGAGGAATAAGTGGGTGATCTAGCTATATATGTTTGGGTGGGTGATTAACCAGACCCACTCATGCCCGTGTTGTGTGTCATCTCTACTCCTAATGGAGCAGTTGGTAGTCTCCGCCGGTTAATTTTCGTCTCATCATTTTCGTCCGGTTTTTTTCGTAGGTTAACCTTGATAAAAAAAAATTTCGTCCGGTGCTCCTGTTGGTTTTCCCCCTCCGCATCGCCGCTCGATCCAACTCCCCCCTCTCCCTCGGTCTCGCCTCTCCTATGGTTCGCCGCCCGCCGCCGTACCCCGCCGCCCTGCTCCGCTGTTGCCCCTCCCTCTGCCTGCCTCGCCCCTGCTCTAGGGTTCGCCGCCCGCCGGAGCCCCCCGCCGCCCTGCTCCGCTGTTGCCCCTCCCTCCGCCTGCCTCGCCCCCTCCCCTACACTCACCCCTGCCCGATCTGGATCTGGATGAGGCGTTGCCTCCCGTTCCTCTCATCGCGTCCCTTCTGCCAGCCATGGAAGAGGGGAGGAAGAAGCTTCTCTGTAGAATCAGCTGATCGAGCGGGCTCCTGATGTTGGCTTGCGAGAATGCGGCAGATCTCGTCGATGCTGCAGGGCCTGGCCCGTTCCATGTCTCTGGGAAAGGATAGGAAGGTGGAGGAGGAGCACCAGGGGACGGTGCTGCGGTCGTCGGGGACGCTCTGGGGCGAGGGCTTCGAGACGTTCGCTGCTGCGTGCTGGACGTACAAGCACCAGCACCTCTGCTGGCCGTTTCCTCCATACTGACAGATCGCCGTGTTGCTATCCTTGTATGTTGTAGCCAGGAGGAGAGGTAGGCGCGGTGCCGCTCATGGCCGTGGCGTCGTGCTTGTGGTAGTGGTGAATTGGAGAGAACGACCTCCTATCTATGCACGTCCATCTACTGCGGGCTTTCCCTCTTCCAGCAACATCATGTCTCAGTTTGCCGCCGCCATTCATCCGGATGGCCCTGGACATACATACCAGCACCACACCCTTCCTCCTGTTGCTGGGGACGCAGCTATCATCGGTCCTCTGTTGTCTGCAGCCCGGACGTACAAGCCGTCGAAGCTGACGTTCCTTTGCATAGGCTGCACAGACGGGTGTACAAGTTGTTGCTTCTGTTCATCCACGCGCCAGTGACTCACATACGTTGCTAGCTTTTGTTACTTGGTCCATCCCTAGGAAGCAATAAGATTACTTCAGTATGCATATACACGTTGCTAGCTACGTGCAGGGTATCTCAAATTCACAAATGTTTATGAGATTGTTTTACTAGCTTTTGTTATTATTTGGCCCTTCAGTATGCAGATTGATCTCAACGTTCATAAGAATCTTAAAAAAAATGGAGATGAAAATACTTCAAGTAGTTCTGAGTGGACATCATTTGATAGCATTTTGTTGTAGCATCTACAGAGGACCTTTTCATTTCATTTTACCGAGAAACGCTGGAGGGTTCATGTTTTCCTTATCCAGGACATTTTGAAGGTTCCTGATGCATTCTTACAAGAAGCAACAATCCAGAGGTTAGTCAATGTTTGTCGGGATTTTTCATTTCTAAAGGTACACTAGCGACTATTATACATATAACTAATTATTTGCTTGCTTTCTTAATCACGTACATCAATATAATCCTCCATGCTAAAAACACTCATTCTAGATTGCGTGAGCTTGTCATACCATTTTTTTTAAAGACAAAAAAATAATTTATACTCCACAACTTGATGCATTGTTGTTGCATCAACATTTCCGGAATTAGCAAGTCAATTTTTTAGGTGTATGTTTGCTAAATTGGTGAACACAGTTGGTCTCTTTAATCAGGAAAAAAAATAGCATGATTCTCTAAGCTACATGAATTACTCTTCAGCGGCATTTCATATCAGTGGTGTGTTACTTGCTATACTGCCTATGTGTGTGTACTGAAGTTTTCTTCTTTTGAATATGTAGGTAATTAGTGAAATGATAAGAGGGTCAACTAATGGTGTTCAATTTTTCCTTCAAGCAAACAGTTTGTACCCAAATACAATACTATTCAGTATCATCCTGAAACCAATATCTCAAAGATTCATTCTTTATGAATTCGAGCCTTGGCAAACCACTCCCATTACAAGGTTCCATAAACATGCTGGATTTGTATGTCGATATTCAAATTAATTGGGCAAAAAATAGATATATTTACTCTGATGTTTTTACATATTTAGGTGAATAGCATCCTGTTTTTACTTCAAATAATTAACAAAAAATTAAAGATCGTGATTATGTTGTTTATTAAATTCCTCTTGCATTATCTTTGATGAAAAGTATATTATCTGTCAGCAACGATATGTTAATATGGGCAAAGGAAAGTCAAAATATGTTATCTCAGGCCAATATTCTGAAATTAGTGAAGCCCTATAGTATTTACTGGATTGATCGCGACACTGCTCATATTTTTTGGTACTTTAATATCTGAAAATTTTCTTTTAATCATGAGCCGAGGAGATAATGGGTTGCAGGCACGTGCCCCGTCCTTCTCTTGTTCAAGGTTTGGCGGATGCATTAAGTTTGGAGAGGAAACTAACATGAATGACCAGGCGATCTTTTTCTGACCTTTTTCTCCCTTTCTAATTACTCCTCTCATTTCCTCTGTTCTTCTCAGCCATCTACTTTTCTATCGCCATATCGATCTCTAAACTCACTTCATCTTTTTTCTTCCAATTCATCTGATTGTTGTGTTCCAAGCACACATGTCATAAAGCATCACCTCCTGCTTGTTCGAACATGTTTGATGTACTTACATATTAACATGTTTGATGTACTTACACATTAACAAAACTGATCAGTAACATTCATGCCGAATTATTTGGGTTTGGTCCTCTGCTTTTTTACTGTTTATTTATTGATGAAGATAGCAGATGTTCATGTTTTTAAATATAGTTACATGTGTTTGTACAAAAAAAATATAGTTACATGTGCTTCCAGTTGGTAGAGATCAAAAAATTAACTCACTGATGCAAGGAAAAAGAGCTCTTTTATAGACACTGCCAGCAGTGGATACATGGTGAGCCTTTCTCATGTCGCTCTCTTCTCTGTCCAGGGATACGGGTGCCAGGACGACACCATCTTCTGCGCCGTCTGCCTTCCTCTCCTCCAGCGGGAGAGGCCCCTGCCTTCCTCTCCTCCTGCGTGGTGGCAGATGGCCGCAGTTAACAGCGCTCCTGCGAGCGGGGGACACGAGTGCGGTGCAGACAGTGACCAGGTGTGACGAGACAGCCGCCGGCCAACTGTGGGCGGTTCTTTCACGTGCAGTAGACCGTGCCATTCTATGACGAGGATGTGTTCCAGGTGAGCATTCTCTGAAATGGTTACCTGCTTCACGAAATGCATTCATAAGTAGCGCTTTTCTTGTTAGATCATCATAAAAATCTGGATCTTACATTTGATACCATGTTTATTTTATGAAATTGCTATCTCATTCACATGCCAGACTGATCCACTAGCCAAAAATGTAACAGGAAATGGAAACAAATGAAACTGGATGCTCATCATGTATTTCATGAAGAAATTTGCATGTCTGGGGCATGTCTCCATATAAAAGGCCGATCTCTGCACAACAGTAGTTTCTTCAGGTTATGGTGTCCGATTTTTTTCATCTCATTTTGCCATGCACTAGATTACATGGTTAATACTGTCACTATGCAATAACTGGGAAGATTACGGAGGGAAGGGACAATATGTAAGATGGGGCAAGGAGGCTGGTGTAGATCTTGCTTCTCATGACGACTTCATATCTGATGCAACACTTCAGAGCTACTACAAAAGCTTTTTTTAGGAAGCTACTACAAAGCTTTTTTTCGGAAGCTACTACAAAGCTTTTGTTCAGGTAAATTTCTAGCTTAAATGGCCATCGGAAATGGATTCCTGTTATCCATCATGCTTGGTGACTAATGGATATCATCATATGCATAGCTATATGAAATGCTACCAGCAACAGTTACTGTAGTTTACCAGCTCTGAATTCTGTAGTCGTGTTTTCCTGTTATACCAGACTTTCAATATTGTGCATATGTTTCCTTTTCTTAGCTTGTTTTTTCAAGAGTAAACACAATTACAAATGAGGCCTACAAAGACGATCCTACCATTCTTAACTAGACGATGATCGTCGAGTCATGCTGCCCTTCACATCCATCAGGCGATACACTCTAGGTCCTTATTGCGGTCTTATTTTTGGGACTTTGAAACCATCTTCCATCACGTCTAATATTGTTGTATTTCATAATAGTAATTGTTCAGCCTTTGACTGACATATGGATGATATTTGTAATATATTTCTTTCTTCCATATTACCAGGAAATATGTCGAAGCACAGAATATATTCCATTTGCAGTGAACTAACAGAACAACACAACACATAAAAAGAGGAGTATAAGTGGAAACCTTTCTTTATCTTTAAATTCTTGAGGACGGTAACATTATGATGAAGGTGGAACCATAGAGAGATGTGTATTTTTAATTGAGATATTTTCAGGAGTACCTTTGCAAAGCTGATATATCTTTCTTTTACAAGATATGGTTGCACTTGCTTCATCTACATAGGCCGTCTGGAATGCCATGAGGCCGGGATTGGTGTAGGAAATCTTCAAAGCTATTATATTGGTCTCCAGAAACTTGCAATACATCAATGCATTTTTATTTTTATTTTTTTGCTGACACCACAGCTACCACCTCTTCACTAAATGACAGAGGTTGCCAGCAACTGCACATGGAAAGATTGAATGTTATATTCTGTCTACTAATCAATAAGGAGGGAGATCAAATTACTGCTCTCAA